CGATAGTGCCCATCACTAGTGTTGGGGTCGGGATCAGTCGATCAGTGTTGGGATTCGGGCCGGGTTTTCTCGCGATTGCGCGGCATTTTCAATAACGTATGATAACGCGCACATGTTGGAGCTCAAAGGCCTCTCGGACTCCTGAAAGTAATATTGGCGAGAGAAGACCGAGACGAAGACTATTGTCTGTTAGAGTTGTTCGCGTTTGCCATCCTGTCCGCTTAGACCAAGATTCTGCACCTCCACGTATTTCTCGTTTCAGGCGAGGTGAACGAGTAGACCTCTATCACCTTACAGATTCTTGTGACTCACGAAAATGAAAATTGCATTAGTTTTGAAAATAGTCGATCAGTCGAGTTTGATCGTTCGATAGCGCATGTCCTTTGGAATTTATAAATTCTTTATAATATATCCTTACAGGGAGTGTGACAGGATTGTACGAACTATTCTTTTCGTAGAATGTTTTTATTGGCTCAGTTTCTGTTTTATACAAAACATCTAACAAACACAGATGCTTTCCGCTAACAATTTTCATATTTTTGTTCATTTTAAAACTTCGCCTCACGAAAGCGGCTAATCTATTGACTTCGCGGATTTCTCTAGTCTTGCGGTTCCCAAAGGGCGCGCTAATTAAGTACAATGCGATACGGGTTGGTTTTATTTCTCGTTTGTTTGCTTCAACAGTGCTCGTATGTCGACGCGTCTAACCACAAACACTAACTATTTAGTCACGGTGGTCGTTAAAAAGTTGGAACGTAATAAAGTGCCTCTCAAAATATGAACGACTGCGCTACATCAGCGAACGGACGGGGACGTTTTAGCTAGGCCATGGAAACGAATTTCATTATTTCTTTTTCTCTTCTTCCGCTAATCGCGCGTTGGCTCGCGAACGATTCGGCTATATACAAAAACGGTTCCCAAAAATTTGTCGCTCCTTCGACCGCGTTAGTTTCTTGTCCCGAGCAATAAAATAAAATATTCTTTCACGGGTGCTTCGTTGAACGAAAACTGCGCTTAACTCTTCGAGTGATAAACGTCTCAAATACAAACTGATATTCCCTTTGTATTTACTTAACGTATGTCAAAGCAATGGCTTGAGTGTATTTCTTCCAATTGTAAATGATTTTCAAGCATAGAAATGAATGTAACATTTTAGGCAGAGTTCTTTTAATTACAGTTGAAATTGCGTATGTTCAGCACTTGAAGGGTTAATAAAAGTTTCTTTAATTGTAGGCGCATATATGTAAAAATTGTTCAGTAAAAGTTTGTCAACCCATAAAACATCTAGGTATCATCAAATAGATGTAACAATAACGGGATAAAATTTTGTTAGCTCTTGGTATCAGCAGCCACAGGCTCTTTTTTACAAACGTCACACTGTCTCGTTTTATGCGAGTTTACGTTTTTACTTAACTTCCTCGTAATGCTTGACCCGCTTGCGTTCGATTCTTTTTATTCTTTTCTTAATTACTTTAGTAACAACAATTAATATTGAAGAACTTTTTAATGCGTGAGAACGTTTTATAAAAATTATCCCTCATCCATCCATTTTCGTGAAAAGAGATATTTCTCAATTTTCGGCGAAAGACTTTCGACAAACTTTTCTCCACTGGTATTAATATTCGATATCAGTTAAATATCAAGTTAAATTACGAGATCGAAGGACGGACAAGGGTTTAAAAAATTGTTTCGATTCGAAGCCAATGCGGATAGAGAAAGTTCAAAAATTGATCAAATTCCAAGAAAGTCGAAAAACAATCGTCAACAAGATTATATTATGGCATGGATTCGTTCAGAGCTTACGTTCTACAGAATGCCGAGAATCGACTATACTACCAAAAGATGTGATCATTAAGGATGATAATCTAGAAACTGTTCTATACAATCTCGTCTAGAATTACTTTGTGCGCCGTTTCATTGTTCATTCTCGTAAAGCGTTTCTTCCCGGATGAAACCTAACGCATCTCTAGACTTTCTAAAGATCTTTCAAAGTTCTCCCGTGAGTCCTGCGGTGCGCATGTTTCACGCGCGCGAATGATACTCACTCGAGATCTCGAGGGACAAAAATGAAAGAGAAAAATCTTGATCGGCAGACTGCAATAATTTGACAATATCATTCTTCAGCATCTTTTCGCGAAATAAAGTAGAGATTTTATTATAGTCCCATAATTGAGCAAGTTTTCGTCCAACAGCGACGCACTAAAGATCCCAACTAATCAACTGAGATCAGTACGCGCACATAAAAGGAGCTGGCTGTTCGAAAAGGAAAACGTACAAAAAAACAATGTAAAAGAATGATAGCAGTGAATCCGATCTTCGTTCGACTTCTATGTGCGTTATAATTCGTCGATATTCGCATGAGAACTCAAGAACCGGGGCACGGATTAAGGGGGAGTGGATTACAATCGCTTCCCGAATACTGAGACAAGTATATGTACAGTCATAAGAAGAAGAAGATAGTCGAATTTCACTGCTGGCGAAGCTGCGAGCGCATAAAAATAATCATCCCTGGAACCCCGTTCCCTCCTCCCACTTCCGACCGTAGCCTTGAGAAATCTTAATCCGACTCTGTCGAAGCTGAACTTTTCCTCCCAATATTGGATCCTCGTTGATATGGCCTGGCGGATTCTGTGAAATCATCGTCGCGCAAACATTCGTTCCGTAGCGAGTATCACCGGCGCAGACGAACGTTTCTAAGTTTAGCGTGTACGTAACGAAAGTGAAACGTTTAAGCGGCTAATGATTAAGTCTGCGTAACTCCATGGCTGCGATGTCGTCCACAGATATAAGCTTTTCTATGGGAATGCAAGAGAGTTCGCCGCCGACGCAGGACTGCGGCTGTTGCCACCTGGCTTCCCTCTCCGCCTCCTTCGCCTTCATCTCGGCCTCCCTCGCGCGCCGCTCCTTCAGCTTTAACGAGAAGATCGCCACGGACCTGGCTCTTTTCATTAAACTCTGCTTCACCCTGGTCTTCTTCGCCTCTCGATCCTCCTTCGACGGCTTCTCCTCCTCCTGACTGGAAGTTTTGCTCGAGTCTGAGAGGGCACTTGACTCTTTCTCCTTCTCTTTTTCAGCGTACAACGCTGCTTGTTGCTTGTGATCTTGAATTTCACGCTGATACTGTTGATACTGCTGCTTCTCGGTCTTCTCCCGTTCCTTCTCTCGTTCGGGCGAGAAACGGAACTTCTGATTCCTGTGAGCCACTGACCATGGCGGGGCGGATCTTTGACAAGAAAATGACAACGCTCTTAAATAACTCTCTTTGTCATTCTACGTAAATAAACGAAAATTGCAGACTGAGAATTGCACTGGTTATGAAAAATATCACAAAGTACCTGAGGAGATCGCTATCCGATGAGGATGCGAGTTCTTTCGAGACGATGCAGTCAGTAGACCTGTGAAGAGTCAACTCGTCTCCACTTCCACTGACGGTACCAGCTCCGCTGATCTCGGAGTCGCTGGATTTTCGAACAGCAGTCTCGAGACCTAATCTTCGGACCCAGTCTATACCACCGTGAGGACCGATCGTCAGATGGTGGCTGTACTGATCGCCACCACCCGACGCTTCCGATTCAGTCTGTAGCCAGTCCCTTGAACGCCTTCCTGCATATGGACAATCGGATACTTTATGAAATAATTTTTGTGCATGTAATAAAGAATATCAGTTTCATGAATGATATAATATTTTTCAACTACCATTGAAAAATCATTTTATTCGTGTGTTTTTGTTCATTCATTATAAGTTGAGGATAGTACAAATGTGAAAAAAGAGTTAAACGTCTGCCGTTTGATGAGAAGTGAGAAACAGTCGAACCTCGTTCTCCACCGGGAATGGAACACCTAGGCGCGTGGTGAATGTCTCGGACGCTGCCTATGATGCTCTTGTCGGTCAGTAAAGGACTACCCAAGTCGCTGCTGGCACAGCTGACCGGAGTTTGAGCCGCGGAGGGTGTCTCCGAGATCCTCGGCACGGATGCACCACTAGGAGTTGGAGGGCTGCTCGGCGTCTGGGTGGTCGACGCCAGCGTCGGCGTGTCCGGGATGCTGGAGGGCGTCGCGTCGCCGTTGCCCTCTGACAACAATTGTTGCTCTTCGCTCTCACCGTCTGCTGGACTCACCACGAATCTCCCTGAGTTCGAGCGAAATTAATAGATGGTAGGAGGGAGGACGAGTGTTAGAACCGCGTTTTCACCCGGTCGGCGAATGAAATTCGAATTGATGAACTTCGGAGTTCCTGGGAATTCCTCGAACTTAAGAATCAGAGTTCTCAAATTCCTACAAATTCCTACGTCCTTACCTTTCTCCCGGATTCCTGAATTCCTACAATTTTCTAAGACGTGCTACAGTTCTCTTTCTTAAACTACCCTCGGAATAAATTCCTGTAATTTTTTAAGTTGCTAAACTAAATCAACTAGTTCGAGCATGTCCAAGTTCTCAGAATTCCCTGGATCTCCTCGAATTTTTTCAAATTACATTTATATAAAATGCACACGTACGATCCGATATCGAACAGGCCTGCAAGCCGAAAAGAAGAAGCGGAAGAAGGAGTAGGAAGCAGCAAGTGGATGGGAGTCAGGTATCGCATAGCTTACATTTAAAAACAGTAATACGGGATGGAGAACATCTTACCTATCACTGTAGCCGGTTGCTGCTCCGGTGATGGCGTTGAGGATAACCTTCTGACCGCCTCTCTCCTCAGGAACTCTACCTTGGCCATTTCCGTGGCCACCCAATGCGGTATGTCGGGAATCGCGCAGATTATGATGAATCGTATCGCCAGCATGATATGTTCAAGGGCAACTATCAACAGAATCGTCTGAGTGGCCGACATCTCCGGGAACATCCGTTGAACCTGCCCGCTGAGACCGATCAGCGCGCAGTTCACCAAAATAGCGACCAGACCCATCGCCTCCATGGCGTTCTAAAAAGAAATACAGTTTCAAATTTATTAATTCATTGACGTAAAATGCACCTTTTAATAAATAAAATATAGACCAATCAATTATTGCTCTCACCTGCCAAGTTCCAATGCTGGAGACCCGACGGCCGAACGGTCGCTGAAGTACAAAGCACAGCTTGAAAGCGTCGCCTCGTAGCTCAAAAAGATTTCCAAGCAACGCTAACATCGCTGCCAGAGGGAAAGCCGAGGAGAACAGGCAGACGTATCCCAGTTGCGACAGCATTTCCAGATGCTCTGAAAACGCCCCGTCGTACTGCGAATACAAACGCCAGCGCGTGAATCATTCGTGCACATTCTTAAAAAACCAGTGTCTTACAGTTAATCTCGGTTATTCATAGAAAGAAGGCTGTAAACAATTAGTTTAGTCTTTCATTCGTTACATTCTTGTTATCTCATGTACATGAAATCTTGTTACATTATTTAATTATTATATCCTGTATTTGGGTAACAAAAATGCATCGAGAATACTAATTTAAAGGAGTGTTCAGCGGAAACTTTTCCTATCACGCAAACAGTGTATCTAGCATAGGTAGTGCTGGGGTCACTAAGCTTTTGAAATGAAAAGTAAGAAGCTAGCGCTTTAACATGAAGTCAGTCTGACAAGCTGTGATTCGTTTATCTTTTCAATTACTCAATATTTTCCCAATATCGGCAAATGTTGATAATTGAAAGAATCGAGTATAAAAATGATCGGGATGATCAGGTGACATTACCTTGTTGGTCGATACCTGCTCGACGTCGACGGAATCGTTGGGAAATGGGAAAAAAAATGATTAAATTTCTGCAAAAAGAACCGATCAGAGAACACGGGACAACATCGATTTAGCTCCACACTGCACACCGTTCGTGTCAAACACACGTAGATTCTATCCTTCGTTTCTATCCTTGCCAGAATTGGGGTTGACCGACTTTCAGAACGAAACTAATCAGGAGAAGGTACTGTACACGCAAGCAAGTGGGTGTTAAAAAGGATACACCGGAAAAGTACAGATACAAAATTATGAAGTGATGAATGGATGAACCTGATCACCTTGGCGATCGTCTTCCAAACATTTATTGAAATTTAATATTTAATAACGCAACGTCATGTAGTAGAAATAGTATGAACAGCATCTGATAAAAATCGAGATTGGAAGATGAATTAAAACACTGTGATAGAATGTCGATATCGTTTACTGATTTAATTAATTGATAAAGAAACTCTTCCACAGTCAGATTATATTTTACGATAGTGGACGTAATTAAATTTCTTTAATTATTTATTATTAGATGAATATTTTTTGATAGATTCGTTTGTCTATTTGAAAATCGCGAAAGTGATTGAGATTCGGTGCGATTGCATGTATGCATTATAAACGAAAAAAATTAGCTAAATCTAGACCAAACCTTGAACGTAACGTCACTAAGTAGAGAATTAGTGGGATGCCCTACTCTGTAGAGGGAACTCTCCAGCTCGGCCTGGCTGACGTTTCTCTGCTTCGCTTTCGCACTGTCCGGTCGATCGTTCTTCTCATCGCCGCCCTCCTGCTTCCCATTTTCCTCGGTGTCCTCGCCAGGAGGAGGACGAGCCTCACTGGGGCTCAGCGCGCCGAAAAGCTCGAAGCTCAACCTTGCGAGTCGTAGCTGTTCGATCAGATACGGCACTGCAGACTCTTTCAGATGCCCGATCACCTGCCGGACTATCAGCAGAGCGGCCAATTGCTGAAATCACAAGCGACGACTCTTCACTCACCGACCATCAAATATCCTTAAAAAATTCTTATACGATTATCGTTTAATCAATGAATCGTTAATTCCTCGATGAATTTCTAACATCAATTTTGAATCGTCTTCTTTCACGGAAATGAGAATTGAGATATTAGTTGTTTTAGAATAGAAATGTGCAAGAAGTCCTACTGTGTGTTTGACTTTGAATCGACTTATTCTACTTGGACGCCTTTTGGTGTGTCCGACTTTCGTTTGGCCTATTCTACTTGGGAGCTTAGCTCCCTGTGCCTGATTTCCGTTGATTTATACTACTTAGAGTACATACATATGTATAGTACTATTTTCCCTGATTCGGAGAAGAAAATTGATGACGAATAGCCACTTGCATCGAATTCTCAGAGTTCTATCAGCGACTAATTACTGTCTAATTGCTAATTACACAGACAAGAGTTCGCAAGAGTATAATAAAGAAACATCGATGTGAAAGTTTGTTCTAAGATCGTTTCTAAGAAATTCCGTCTATGCATGTACTCGGAGAGAAGAACTTTTGAATAGAGAGAAACAAATGAAGGAAGTGAAACAGGAATAAAGGAATTTCTTACCTCTTTCAGCCTCTCCTGATCCTGTAGGTAGAAGGCGATGTAAAATAGCGATAGGAAGGAGTTTACAAACTGAAACTGAAATACATAGTCTCTTCTGTATACTCTCTATCTGTCCTGGTGAATAAACGAACACGCACTAAGAATGCACGAGACAATGCAAGTTACGTTTTATCGTGAACTACCGTCTTTTCACTTATTTTTTTTCAAAATAACAAGCACAAGCAGAAATTGTTCTTGAAAAGAGAATTGGATTTTCATGCGACAAAAGCAGCGAGGACAGAGTTTCCCAATTTATTTTCGAATTGAATCGAATGGATAAAAGCACAGGCTTTAAAAAGGGTAATAAAAGGAGAAAAACAAGGTTTCGGTATAAATTAAAAGAAAAAAACATAATACGAGGTGAATTTATTTCATTTTTTAAATTAAATGTGCATGCGTGACACGTTTTATAAAATGAAAATGATAACTCTACGACTTAGTTAGAGGAAGACAGCTAATACAACACATACACACAGTGTCATAATTCTATTCGTTGAAAAACATATATGGAGAGTCCTTCTTTATTACCAGTGCCACCTTGTAGATCAGATGATTCTCGTACTCGGTGTCTAGCCGATAGTTTTCTGCGTCCAACACACAAAAATCACAAATACTATCTACTGTAACATGATCACTCTCCAATATAACAAAATGGGACAGGAAAATAATGAAAGCTTAGTATAGTCAAATCACGGGCTAGATGTGCGAGTAGACCTATCTTACATTAATAAAAATTATTTTAATTAGGTTCACCCTGTATGCCTGTATATTTTTATAATAAAATACAGAATACAAGAACAGTCTCCTGTTAATAATTCCGAGTTTAGTTTCATTTACATTAATTAGGTCGGACTCAGGTGTTGTATAACTTAATCTATAGTAGAAGCTAAGCCGTGAAAAGATACGACACAGTATGGATGACAGAACAAAATGAGAACGATGATAATTGATGAGAACTAGACGTGCAGAGTTCCTCGTGAAAATACACAGAAAAATCGATGCGAATCGTATCTCGTTTCTCATTGGGACGATTGATCATGTCATGGGAGAAATAGAGACAGAGTGATAGCAATAACTATGGGAACTCAAAGTATGTATGTACATAACGTCGAAGCGGAAGCACTTTACACGTACCCATGTCGTTCAACCATACGGCAACCTTGAAGTAAGCCTCGTCCATTAAAGCTATCACCACCGCGAGTAAGACTTTTGGCACGTAGCTCAACCAGAAACCGTATCCCCTAGACTCGAGGCGTGCGTCCCACCAATCCTATTGGCGTTCAACATCAATCACATTCATAATTTCTCCTTATATATTGTTTATTACATTATATTATTGAGTTATTATTTTTACAAAATCATTATTACACAACATTGAAATGCATCCTGTTATTAACCAGTTCCCCGAAAACTCAGTAGAATTGCTAAATTCCTGAAATAATTAACTAAACCGTGACGTACCGAGAAGCCAATTTATTAAGATTCGTCGGAAGGGGAATTCGCGAACAATGCGAATCTGTTTTAACGATTGAATTCCGAGCGTTACGAAAGTTTGCCGAATTCTCGGCCGGGAAGTTCGACGGTGTAATGACGAATCGATCACCGGAGGCAGCTGGCTCCCGTTCAACCAATTCCGATCGCCGAAAGACTTAACGCTTTTTCTGCGCACGGATTTCAGCGAGGGAAAATACCCTGCTCCGAACTAAATTGTCGTTTGCTGTCGTCTCACTCCTTCACCGCCGACAATAATTTATAACGCAGTGGGAAAGAAAAACAAATATACGAATAAATATTCCATTCCCAAGTTTTTCGTAATTAATACATATTTTTATATTTAAAAGAAAGTTGGATGTACAGAAAGTATAAATAAAAGCTGAATAGTATATTGCTGTGTTTAAATGATAAAAGAAATTTTTATGTGAAACGTTTTATGTTTGTATAAAAATCTATATGATAAATAAATGTGTCACTCACCTGTATCTGAAAGCTGAGAATCATCACGATGAAAACGAAGAACAGGCACGCTGCAATGATGGGCACGCTGACGAAATACCGGAACATGTTCCTCTTCCATCTAGGGTACGTCGGCTCCAGTCTTCCAGTCACCGATGAAATTTCCAAGGTACCCTGCGATCCAGAAAAAGAAAGACAAAACAGACAGGATTTAGTTCAGTCATCGAGGAGATACTAAAGAGGGGCAGAATCATTTGAAATAATTTAATTATTATTGATTCAAATGGCATCGGGTTAAAGCTCACCGTGAATAAGGGCCTAGGTTCGAGAAGTAGGTCGTCCCTTTGATCCAACGTGCCCCACCTGTAGGCCAGTTCGGCACCCCTTCTTTTCCAAGTTTCCAGGTAAACGGTGGCCCAGATTACGTTGAACACAGAGAACAGTACGTACGCCACGTCCTCCACTGCTTGATTCCTACCGATGATGCCGATCTTCGCATCAAACCAACAAACAACATCGATGTCAATATTAATTTAATATTAATGAAAACTATTCGATAAAAACTGATCAAATGCTTCATGATGCTTCAATTTTTTTATCATTCTCTGAGAACTGTCTAAAATATGTGCGCAGTATAAGATATATTTAAAATAAAAATGACTTCCAAAATGCGTCGCTGAAATCTGTAAACCATTAATTACTTTATATTACATGATATAATTTACTGCGTGAACGACATAATGCGACATGATATGATGTATGATTTCATTATTAATCTGCCGAAGCTTTCATTTATTTCTGGAGGCTATTATCTACTGGAATTTTTTAAATTCATCTCACCCAATATATGGCACCCACTACAGCTGGAACTATCAAAGCGGTGGTGTAATGACCGAGCCACGCGAAATACATGGTAATCTTGACTCCGAAGTATTTACAAATGTCGTCCAGGGGTTGGGGGCTGAGAAACGCACGAACCCATGTCCGTTGCAGTTTCTCCAACGCAGGCAATTCGTGAAGAGGGAAGACCTGATTGATGCAAACATAAATTGTTCGATCGAGTATTAAAAAAGTTATTTAATTTTAGAGAATGTCTCCAAAAATTAGTACAATAGAAATCTCTTCGTCAACTATTTAATTACTTTTCTTAATCTGAAATAATATATTTTAGAGAAATATTGAATGTCCAAAGGAACATGGCAGAATTATCAGTGTTTGATTTTATTTATTTACACTATCATGCATTAAAAGCGAAAATGGTTTTAAATAATATTATTATGAGACGAACCTGGGATATGATCCCAGCTGAAATGCACTTTGGAATAATTGCTTGACCTTCGACCATCTTGAGCCCGGCCAGGCTGTGGAGGTCCTGTGGGCCCGCCCTGAGAGTGTGCAGCAGGTGGAGTACCAGCGATTGCCTCTCCTGGGTGGTGAAGAACTGAGCTTCATCGTCACTACCCTCGAAGCAGCTCGCCTCGGAGCCAACGAACTCCTTCAGTCCACCGCCGAACTCCTGTCGCAGCGTCTTCGGTAAATGCACCTCCTCAGCTGCTTTCAAAAGTCTGACAGACGACGCAAAATTGTTTCGATAGAAATTATCCATATTTTTAATCTATAATTATTTTTATATCAAATTTTCTTCGATCTATTCTTTGCCTATTACTTAATGAAGTCGCGTTAGATTTGCCATTATTACACAGTGCTTTAATAAATGAAATGTATTAAGGACTACAAGAGTAGAGGTCTAAAGCATTAATGTTTGATACATGAGTGTCGGTACACTTACACGCTAAACGGCGCAGTTAAGTAAAAGCTGTAACTATCTGAAGAGGCATGGTGTCGCACGTGCACCACCAAGCCCGGGGTTCCAGCCCGAAGTCGGCCTAGAAGCCACATCAGGGTCTCGTCGCTCGCTCCGCTCGGGAACATCATCACGACGTCGCATTCCTGAAAAAAAGTCAGCGATTCACACTCTTGGCTTCGTAGCGAGACGATTTTCAATTCCTAAAATGCCTCGAGTTCTTTCAATCTCTAAAGTTCCTCGGATTCTCAGCGATGCCTCTAGAGACTCCTCGCATTTCCGCGGCTGTTATGTTGACAAAGTTTCCTAAGAGTTTCTTAAGTTTCCCACGGAAAACAAGCCGTGCGTTGCCGTGTACATCAGAACAGCCGGTGTTATTTTCCTGTTAGCTGTCGTAGGACGCGGTAAAGTTATTTCCCAGAGGTGCCGCAGCCCGTGGAACGAAATTCTGGCAGCGAGGAGCGAAGTCGCTGGCCGTTGTCCAAACGGCAGTACATTGCCAATCCACGCGCGAAGATATCCTGATAGCGTGCCTGACCCAATAGCGACCAAATTTATCTTTACTACTTACGGCTATCTCCGAGTCCCTTTCCCATTTAAATGAAGACTCTTATGTCACAAGCTTTATGCCATATTCGTTGTTTAATCATCTTTTGCGATATGATACTTTCTTATTTTTTACTATAAATGTTTCGTTTCGCATGAAAGTTCGAGGTTTCGGGCTTGGAATCGAATAAAGAGAAAATAACTCGAATCTTTGTTCCATTATTTTTTAATCAGAGTGATTCAGAGTAAAAGTACGTTGACGTTCCTCTTCACGTGCGCCTTCCCTATTATTTTTCCATTAATGAAGTTCGCTCGCAAATTTCAATTTGCTACTTCTCAACTCCATTATGTAGGGTCAGGGCAACCGGTAAACCAAATTTTCCCACGCGATCCGGAAGAGACCCGGAACGCCAATCGCAACGAGAGAATATGGCAAAAGTTAATGAAAGAGAAGAAAAATGAAAAGGTCATAAGGGCCATTCGAAGTTTGTCAGAAAAATGACTAAAAGGTCTAAAATTACCAGAGCTATTTCAATCGGTCCTATTATCAGTAGTACATGTCCACTTTTCACTGTTCTACGTGTAGAGATCATTATAAATTGTACAGTGCAATGTCGATTGACGTTCGTCCATATCGTCTGGTGACACCTGTTGCACCTGTTTGCTTTTATTTGCTTATTTAATTACTTACATATGAGTGTAATAAATTCTGATTTAATCGTTCCATATTTTATATTAAAACACATTTCAAAATAAATATTGCTAATAATTTCATGTATTTCATAATATATTACACTCTCCCATTAAACGTCAGATTAGAAATTCTAATTATTATTTAAAAAAATTCTGATTATGATTTATCTATACATTTATTGCTATCATTTATAAATAAAACAAGGCACTGATTATTGTCTGTTTCCATTTGATAGAATCTGACTGAATATAAAATAATTCCGTTTGTATTCTGTACAGAAACAAAAGTTGGTTGTCACACATAGTACGTGACGCATACTTTATACTAGCTATGCGAAAATCGATGCGACTGGTTGCTTAATAATGGAAACAAATCGGCTGGGCACGCTGAGACGTGGTGGCTACGTAAAAACAGTCTGGTAATCCTGATTACAATAATCTTAAAGAATTGTTTTGCATATTTATAGAAACATGGAAAAACTTTGCGAGTACAATTTCCCTTATAGTCTCACGTTTTATAAAGATGTTACTTATGTTTTCTTATACTTCTCGATTATACTTAAATGAGATGAATTATTTCAATTCCAACAAGAGCTCGATCGTAGTTATAGAAATTTTATTATCTATAGCATTGTGAGAGAAATTATACAAAAGAGAAAGAGACGTGTGAAGAGGTTCTTTGTAACAAGTGCGCGTAACAAGTTAAGCGGCGAGCCGAACCTCTCGTTAAACTCTTCCCTCGACTTCTAATATCAGTAAGTTTGCTATATTTTTTTTCACGAAAAAGGCGATGATCCTGCGATATTGCACCCTCGGTATGAGCGTAGCAGAGTGTTGCAATAATGCGCGGTATCCAAGGAGAAATCCTGGTTGAAAATGTACATATGAAAATTCAAAATTTCCAGCACCAAAATATCGTGGAATATCAAACGCGTAATAAACATTTAAGACAAAATATAATTCAACAAAAATAGAAGAATTAACCCTTAAAAGGTTTCATTAAAATAAATTACATTATTTCACACATAATAAAATCAGATATTTCATTATTATTTAACATTAGGTAC